AAAAGATGTCCAAAGGTGGCTGTGAGAAATGTGCTTAAAAACATCAATAATGACAGAGTGTTTACAGAACATGGAGAAACTGTGCAAATAACAGCAGGATGTTTGTTGGGAGCAGTGTTGGTTATAAAGTCTAAGAGCTGCTGGGAGGAATGGGCCATGACGCTCCTTTGTGTACGCAGCAGTCTTTGACTGAAGGAGCTCTCCAGCTCTGCCACAGCTTCATGCGTGGGGGTGGAGACACTGTCCTAACACCTGCACTGGGTCGAGGGGGCATCCAAGCCCATGTTGGTCAAGTTACTTGAAAAAAGTAATTAGTAACTAATTACTGATTACTTCTTCAAAAAGTAATCCCATTACTTTACTGATTACTTATTTTCAAAAGTAATTAGTTACTTAGTTAATTTTCAAAAACATGATACACAACCTGAATACGCAATAAAGCAACAGACCTTTCAGCCCAATTTTTCTGCATAATCCATCACATCAAATTGAATCAAATGAAAACGTCTCTTTTTAAAACTTGTTTTAATCTTCTAACTTTTATGCACATTGCAAATATTAAATTATGTTCAAAAGTCTTTGACTTGCAGATATGTTTATTTCCTGCATATTCCAGCAGATAAAATAAAATAATGTTTTGTGTTTACACTGTTTCAAACAGATGCAAGTAAAACACAGCAGAAATAAATAAAATCAACGACTCAGCCGCTCTGAGTCCTGTCGCTCTTAAATCTATTGTCACCTGTTTAGCAGGAGTGGGGCGGGTGGAGGTTTGCCCACAGTGGTCGTGTCAGTGGGGGGGTCCGGGGGTTTCTCTGTGAGTGTCACGTTCCCATGGCAGCGTGCTCGCTGCTCGCTCAGATTTGAAGTTTAATTTTTCGCTGTAGAAAGACGTTTTCTTCCCACGCAGAGTGAACAGCTGACGCTGATGTTTGTGTCACTTTTTACAGAATCAAACTCAAAGTAATGTGATTACTTCCACGCTTTAAACGCTGCACGGTCGTACTCTCTCCATCACTCCATGTTTGCCATTGTTGATCTGCACACGTCTGTTGCTGCCACAGGCGTCGCACGCTCGTACGACAAAAGCACAACGCTTTTCTAACACAGTAACGCAGCATGCTTACGGGAAAGTAAAGGTAGTCTAATTACTTTTTTGCATGAGTAATGCCTTACATTACTCATGACTATAAAAAAGTAATCGGATTACGGATTACTGCCCATCTCCTATCCTAGCACAGACCTGGCCTCACTGATGAGCTGATCCTCTCAGCTGTAGATAAGCTGCTGCCCCAACAGACAGCACCATAGAGTCAAAGAAGAACCTCCACCTGCAGGAGAAAGATCTCCTCAGCAGGCAGAGTCTGCTCTGACCCTTCCTGCTATCACAGCTGCAGTCACATGCTGGCCTAAAAGG